TTTGAAATATATCGGCTATTATTGCAGTTTGAGTAATAATTGCCTTTTCTATATCATAAGAAACTCAGGAATGTAGGCGTTCATACTCTTGTTTCATTTAGTTTTCTGTTTGCAATGGAGGCTGAAGACAAAAAATCCCCAATTCCCCATTCAGTGTAGGTGGTGAAGTTTGCCTTTGAAACAGTCTGTTGTCTCTAGGTCTCGATTCATTTTCCTGTTTGAATTTTACAACTCCTCGATAGTTTTCTCATTTTGGAGTTTTCCTTCTTACATAGTACCATTGATGAGCCAAATTAAATCTTCAATGACCAACATTGCCACTTTTTAAAATTGGTGTTAGCTCATAGAATATATATAATTCCTAGTAAATGGAAGTATATTCTAACTAACGAAGTCCTGCATCAATGTTCATAATAACGTTATAGTATATCTTACGAGATCATCTATTTCCATTCAATTTTCCACTTAACTAATGGTCATTTCATTTAGTCGTATCGAAATAATAACATCAAAGTAAATGATCATTGATTGGTTGGTTGTTTTTACTGCCGAAGGATATATCTCGGTACTTCAAATAAAATGGCTGTACAGATAATGAGTACACCTAACGGGTTTTTCGCTAATCATAAGCATCATTCAATTTACAGTATTAATTTTTTAACTCTTTTGTGGCGTCATATGGGTGATTGGCCTTCAAACTGTTTACATTATATATGGGGTTAGTCCATAATGGTAATGGTGAAAATATTTCACATGTTGCAGTTGGGAACGACAGCGCTTTTTAACACATGGAAAGCGGATTTGAAAAATGCATAATGATTTGTTTTGAATGAGGTTATTATTGATTCGGAATTGGAAATTCCAAACCACAAAAACGACTCGAATGTTTAAGAAGAATGAAGTCTTATTCAATATCATTTAACCTGAGGTAAAGGAAAACAAAATAGTTTTTTTTGTTAAATGGAATAGAGATTCAGTATTAGTAATATAGTTATCTTTTTTTAATAGTAAGTGAAGTATTTTTGGATAGTATTTTCAAAATAAATTATCGGTTTTCTGGTACTCGAATGAAATGAGTGATCATTGGGACTCAGAATCATGTGCCCCAACCAGATGCAATGGCCACCAAGAACTTCAATAATCATAACAATCATTGTAACAGAAATTTTGGGAAAAAGTCTTGCTATTTCACGTCTTTTTCTTTTAGAACGAATCTCATCTCATTAGAAGCTGAAAGCTCCAATAAAATTAAATGATTTCGGACCCAACGTATATACACAGTAATTTCTGGTAAATTCAAACCAGAAAACATTTACTTCCCAGTCTAATACCTTGATGGACATTTATAAGTGACAAACATTTATACACAAGATACCTCAAAGAGGTAATCTCGGATCATTTGAGATTATAGGATTTGTGAAAGAAGTATTTTGTTGGAGAGAATACTGTTCAGAAGAAGTTGTTCCTCTCTTTTTCTCTTTAATTCATGAAAGTTATATTTGTGAGTAGTCTCCACATTTTTCCTTGATTTTTGCAAGTTTTATATTTATTCTGCAAATGAATTGAGTGAGAAAAGATGATTTTTTTAAACCTAAATTATGTTTCAAATTCCGCGAAATACCTGATTTTCTCCATTCCACTGATGCAATATTTAACACCATTTCCACCCATTCATTCCGATTTCGACGAACGTTTACGTCCTAATAGTGCCGTCGAACGTAACATTAATTAAGCAAATGTTCGTTAATTTCGCGAAGCTTAAAATATCGATTGAAGTACCTCCGTGTAAGTTCAACGATGAAAGCGATGAAATGGTTAGATTGATTGGTTCGCGGTATACAGTGCGAACGTAAAAATACCCCTTTCTTAACTTTTGAACGCTTTGAACGTAAAAAAGCTTTAGTTCTTTTTGATAAGAAAAACAATAATGCGCATCACTCGTAGCTAAGAGGACACTCTCAACTTTTTCAAAATGAATAACAAACGATAAATATCATAATTGAATCATTCGTTCTAGAAAACCCTCTTGTCCCTAAAATGTAATGCAGATCTACGTAGCCCACCTAGCCGGCTCAAGAAATTATTGCAAACCTTATGGAATGTCCTCGTTATCAAGATTTTGACAGATATCACGTATAATTCAAAAATATCTAGAGGCATTACATCAGGTCATCCAGCGGGCCATTCTAGTGAACAACGACTTGGATAATTGACAGAGCCAAATTAATTTTCAATGGATGTTACGTTTCAATAAGACGGGAGACCTTTTCATTGTGACACGCTCGTTTGAAAATGTCACTATCGCAATTATTCAGACTGGTGGAAGGGCAGGGATTCGTGGAATTTGAAGTATACGTTTTACAACTGTAATCCATTTCAGAACTCATGGAAAGTATAAAAAATACTTGCAACGAAATTACCTCAGAAATATTCCATGAAGAAAGAAATTAGTTTTAAAAGGCTTCATTATTGCCACAAAGTGATAGTGAACATTTGGAAAATGTGTCTTTTCAGCGACGAGTAATACCACACTCATCTAAAAGAACAATTCTCAGTCTCAACTCCCTACACAGTAGGTTAATGGACTGACACCTATCAGAAAACAACTACTCCCCTGGCTAATACCACGAAGGGCGTTGAATTATATCCGACAGGTGTCAGTGCAGGATTCTTCAAAGAAATTATTCCTGCATAGGCTGTTGGCGATACAACTGCCGCAATAGATTTTCAATTATTGGAACACACTTGCAGACCGGTTTCGGGCTGTTTGGCCACTCGTCAGTGCAAGGTAGTGTATATCATCAACATAGTTGAACTCTGTGTTACCTGGATATAAGTTCATATAGCCATATAGTAAATTTTATCTCATCGACTAACTATTCTTCCATCTTTGTTATACTTTTAATTTAATAGACTTATTTCTCTGAACAAGTACCTGTAGTGGTCACTTTTTAGTAATATCAATGAAGCATCTGTGTCTATATCAAGCCTGTTTTAAAATCTCTAAAAACAGCGCCTAAACTTCTCATTAAAATATTGATGTCCGCCAAAATTAGTTTGAAAATGTAGTATTTCCATTATGATGGAACATCACATATATATCACATATAAAACCATAAAAATCATTCAACTGATTAGCAAGTCCATATCATAAAAAAAGATTTGCGTAAATAAAGAACGTTTAATTCGTCAAATACAATAAAAAAATTAATGATCAGAACTGAACTCGAAGATAATCATAATCTATGATAAATAGTCAAGAAAAATAATTCGAACAACAATATCAATATTTAGGCGCATCGTAAACGAGTCTGAACATACACCAGTTTGAATGCCGAAATTTTGTAGATCTAGCCTATACTAGATGAGCTTTTGTTTCAAGGTGTGGTAAATGTTATAAACAAGTAAATATCATGTCATGTGCTTCCAAAGGCTGGATGAAAAACATTTCGTTGTGTTAATATAAATATATTTGAATACCAAAATTGTGTGGAAAATTCAGCAGACATAACTTGGTAGTAACACACTATATAGATGTTTAGGGTGTGGAAGACTATAAAGGTTTTTGAGAACATTTTCCAACTAATGATATAAGGTTGATTGAAAAGTTTTGTTCGTTTTTTTGCAGCTCCATATCTCAATAAATATTCAAATGAATTTATAGCGATTCATCAATCGGTATTTTCATATGGAATTATTGGTTGGGGAGGACTGTGTGAATGATATTTCCAAAATTTTTAGATGAAAGTATAATTTGTCATTTCACTTCATATTGAACTGCACAATTTCATATAACAATTGTTATAAAAACTAGTAAAATTTAAACTTTAAAATAAGATAATTAAAAATTATGGAAAGTCATTCGATGTTCGCAGTAAAAACATTTTGGTTAAATTAAAAAATATTCTAGCTGGGGCGCCAGCCGCGGGAAAAAAGGCGTTTCATAGATGTTTAGATAGATAGATGTTTCTTGACTACGTTATATAAAAAATTAAATTTGTAGCAGGTATAAAATTCCTGAATAAATTACTAAACAACAATATTGACAGTACGGTTCTTTTACCCGAGATCAATTTCTTAGTACCAAGAAGTGAAGGTCGACACAATCTGAAATTCTATTGCGAAGTATCACGCACAAATATTATGCTACGATCACCATTGAATTTTATGTGCAGTAGATTCAATAAAATCTGTGAACACTGCGATATTCATTTCGACTTTCTGAACGCCTTGGTATCTTGTATCCACAATCACTTGTAATAATACTATAAATAACTTTTGTGTCAGTACTATTAAATTGCATGATTTGTTACTTTTTGTATTATATACTCAATTTTTCATTCCTCTTTTGAAATTCTACTTATACGAATATTTTATATATACTTTTTTTAGCATTTATTTTTTTACATTTCTATATTCCATTATTTTCAATATTTTATTCCATATATACTCTGTAATAATAGCATTTCCTGTAACTGGGTACTCCTGTTGGAAATAAATCGTTTTTTTTATGAGGTGTGGACAATTTGTATGTATAAAATATTGTAGAACACAGTATGCCCTCAAAGACAAAAATCACATAGACATAAAACATTATAAGTATAGATGAAAGTTTCCTAACAGGCAATCGGACAGGTAAATTATTGGCGGTGTATATTAGAGAAAAATGTTGGGAAGCAGATCTGTGAGTATATGTTTCATAAGTGTGTGACAGAAAAGTCAACCGATAACTTCTTTGTCAAATTGTACTTTGATAATTATGGTTGTGTACTAATAAATTGATGAAAATGATGGATAGTGAATGTGCCTCTAAAATATTCAAGAATTTAGTACTATCTGTAACTTCAGAAGTGAAACTTTAGCTCTAGAATAAAATCCTGCTCTTCTTAGTAAATAAACGCCATTTCTGTCGATTCAAATAGCAGGCGGTATAATTTATATTTTTCCAATGAAACTTGACGGTTCAAATGTTATGCAGTTACGAGCAATTCATATTATACCTCTTCTTCCTTTGACTCTGACCCTTGGCCACCCCGTTCTCGACCATCCAAAGCGCTTCCTGCGCCTGCCGCAGGAACTCTGAATGATCATCGTAACTACTTTGTCCAGCACCTATCTTTCCGTTTTCGGTCACTTCGTCTTTGCTGTCACTCACGAGCACATCACAAAACCGACGTTTTTCTTTGGGAACCTTGTCTCCGTTCACATCAGCGTCGATTCCCGATGACGCACTGAAGAAGAAGAAGAATAGTCGAGTCTAGATAGTGGATTATCTTCGGCGATGAACCTACTGGAAACGTGGTGTGCTGCTGTAATTTCTTCGGAGCTTTCTGCTCTGTTAGTCCGGGCAAAGTGGAGTAATGAGAGTGAGAATCGTGCGATATGTTTCATGCTCGGTGAAAAATTCGGTTGGGAAAGTATGTGGATTCATGAATTAATTTCAGAATTTAATTTCGGCATAAAAAACACTAGCACGATAAAGGAATTTATTAGAGAAAGGCTAAAAATAGATATAGCACCTACAAATTTCAAAAAGTACAGCTTGTCAAATCTAAGAAGAGACTTGAGACTTTCGTCATGGTCCCGCCCACTAGGTTAGAAGACGATGAGAGCAAGAGAGAGAGATAACTCCAACGTCTCTTTCTAGATTTGACAAGCTATATCTAGACCACATGAAATGAATAAAACACTTTTGTCTAAATACTACTGGAAAATTTTTATTTTATGACCGGTTTCGGGTTTGATCCCATCATCAAGTATAAAACTGAAATCTGAATTTAGACCATCGATTTTACAGAATTTTCAGATATGCTGCAAGGCCAGGTATTTGCCAACTTAAAATACCATCCTGAAAATTCTAGGGGTTGTTAAACTCATGAATTCAAGAGAGGAGACCTACATAAATACGTCTCTCAAATACCTGGCTTTGCAGCATACCTGAAAATTCTATAAAATCGATGTTCCAAATTAAAATTTCAATTTTATACTTGATAATGGGATCAAACCTGAAACCAGTCGTAAAATAAAAATTTTCGAGTGGTATTTAGACAAAAGAGTTTTTATTCATTTATTTTAAGTGATCAAGAATTACCATAAAGTAAACAAGTCATCAATCACACTTATTGTATCTAGACATTATCAATATCAATGTATGGGATCTTTCTATAGACGCTTCCTATCTTTAAATTTAAATAAAACCAAGTGTGTGTGTGATATCATCGAAATTTTATTTTCATTTGAGGGATCTATTGATGCCATTATATGCGGAATATAACATCGTTCGATTCTATGGGTGGAGCACATCCGAAACGTCCACTTCTTCATGACGGTGGCGCATAAATCAGGCTGGTTATTGTTGGCTTTAAGGACCGCAGTGGTATGTGACTTATATGGATACACCTGCGACTCAAGAGAACCCCACTGAAAAAAGTCCAATGGGGTCAAATCGCACGATCTCGGTGGCCAGTTCACATCATCTCCATGTGGCATGAGATGTGTGGTACGTAGTGGCGTTCTGTTGAAACCACATGTCGATGGTGTCCAAATCATCCAATACAGGCCAGAAGAAGTTGGTTATCATCGACCTATAGTGCTCGCCGTTGACAATGATGACCTGGCCAACGTCGTTCTCACAGAAATATGGACCGTTGACGCCGCCAGCCAAAAATCCACACCAAACAGTGACTTTTTCGTGATACATATGATTTTTCGATGAAAATTGGGGTCAACTGTCAACTGTTCCAGAGACCATTCAGCGAACACACGTCGTTGTCTAGGGTCTACATTAAGAGCAGATAGTTGTTGGTTCACAGATGGATCAAAAACACCTTCCAGTTCTGGTGCAGGTGTTTTCAGTCGCAGACCCAGGACAGAGATATCAACCTGCCTAGGAACCTATGCGATTGTATTTCAAGCGGAAATTTACGCTATTGAATTGTGTGCGGAGAGATTGGAAGAATCCAACCTCATACAAGTCAATAAAAATATTCTCGTAAAGTCAAGCGGCGTTGAAAGCTCTTGGCTCCTACCGAGCAACATCTAAATTGGTTGCAAATTGCCAAAAGAGACTCTACTCGATAGGAAGACTAGAAAGATTGCCTCTGGTCTAGATTCCTGGCCATACTGGCATGGAAGGCAATGAGGCTGCTGACTCCCTTGCAAATGAGGGTGCTGCAAGCAGCTTCATCTGACCAAAACCTGTCACTGGCATCGCTTTAGGTTTTGCCAAACAAAGATTGGACACCTGGATGGCAAGAAGACTTATGGACTTCTGGCAGAATCTTCCACGATTGGCTCACTCCAAGGCGTTCATTCACCCTTCGAAGCTTGATACCAAACAGTTGTTGGATTACAGTAGTAATGAACTACGATGTCGAACAGGTCTTCTTACAGGTCACTGTCATTTGAATAATCATATGCAGAAACTCGGACTGTCGGAAAACAGCGTGTGTCGCCTCTGTTTGTCAAATAATGAAACAATAGAGCACATACTTTGTGCCTGCCCCACTGGGGACCGAATCAGGTTTTTAGAGTTCGGCAGAGCCGTACTCTTACCATCTGACCTGAAAGACCACTCACCATACAAACTAATCGGCTTCGTTAAGAAGCTGGGTTTATTTGGTCGAGTGTGAATAGGTGTGAGCCACAATAAACCCTTGCTGGTTGCGGTGGAGGGTCGAATAGACCCACTCACTTTGGACCTAACCTACCCTATGGTCTTTATCTTCAGTTCCTGGGTCGGTTAAATTTTGTACGATTGCAGGCCCAACTCATAAAGCAAAATTCGCCAAGTTGTGGTCTGCAAAAGGCCAAGTTTTTGTGAGCAACGCGAAATCGACTTTCTCAGATTCTCCGTCACACTCTCACAGCCATCAGCGGGTGTTGGTTAATCGTTCACCGAACCAGTGGACTCAAACTTATCCACCACATTGGACAACTTTATTATTTGCTCGTGTTGTTGAATGCCATTTTCGTCCATGATGATTTGGCCAAACAGACTGCATAAATGACAACAAATTTGACAGCAGTAGCTTCAACGAGAAGACCGTTATCAATGGTCAAATTTCAAATGTCCCTGTTGGAAGACCCGTTACTTGGGGACCCAGCCCAACTGTATAACTAGTATGACCCAAGTCCGTATCTTGATATCTAATACAATCGATCAGTTCAGTCAGACTTTCTTAAAGATGTAACTTCAAAGAGCACTATCAACTAGTCGACTAGTTTTATCAAATCAAAAACACAACACTTATTCCCTCTCAAGTATTTGTCGAAGAAGGTTCAGACTCATTGGCATATAGGGTGTATTTCGAATGCTGTCATTAATTTCAGGTGGTCACTTGTTATATTTAAAAAGTTTGATATTATTTGAAGTAGCTAAACTTTATCGAATCAGAGTCAGTGGCGTACAATTTGGAATAATGCGTCATTTAAGTTAAAAAATGTATTTTGATATTCTTCGCCATTTGAACAAACTTTAAAATGAAAATCGATTTGGATAGTATAGATAGAGGACGTATACAAACAGCCTAAGATGCTCAGAATGATAATAAATAATTTGTATCCCTTATTTTAATACATATTCAATTTTTACTTTATTTAGAAAATGTTTAAAAACAAAAATTAGCTTTGATAAAACATTTTTACAGAAAAGATTTTAAACAAATGCACTTAAATGGGATAATGATTTCTTTCATTGGTTGATCTGGGTTATTCTTGAGTAAGAGGTTTGCCGCGCATACAAAATAGGTAATCTGATTTTTTATATGTTACAGAATAACCTAGATAAAATAATTTGAGAAAAATTATTTTTCCAATTTTCTGTATTCATATGAAGGCTTGTCACAGAACACGTTTTCTTCTATTGTTTGTTCAATCTGATAAAACTATTAAACTTGGAGGAAAACAGTGGCATACAATAATTTTTGTAGTTTTCTGATAGGAATATCTTGGCTTTTGGAAACAAATTATCCAATTTTGCTTTTAATGTCTTGTAGTTATTGAAAATGGGCCTATAGAATATTGAAACAAATGTTTTCTCAACTTGCCGGTTTGTCTACAATTTGACCGAGCTATCATTTCCCTCGAAGCTTTCAGGTCTGAAGAGCAACTGGAATAACGGACTAGCTCTTGTATTGCTAAGCGAACTGGTGAATTATACGATATACCTGCTATTGTTACCTTTAATTTAATGTTTTGGCTTCTAATGATAATGAGTCTATTGTCTAATTGGTTGTCGTCGGTAACGGGATCGTGAAATTTACTCGAGGATCAAACACGAAACTCGAGCCCTCTTTGGAAATTCATGTACTAATTAATAATTTACTTTTACTTTCAATGCCTTGGGTTACATTATTGCAATTTCTGTAGGGATCTCTTATGTTATTTGAATTAACATACAGCCCTTTTTACTTCCTTGTATTTTTTTATAGTTGCAACTTATGCGAGCGGAGGGTATACCTTATTAAGAGCGATTGAGGCAAAATGGAAAAGTTGATATACATCGATCGCATATTGTGATAACGTGACCCATAAGTAGGTATGTCATCGTAACTATATACAGTTATGCAGTCGTGTCAAAGGTACGGCCCGCGGGCCCCATCTACCCCCGGGCCGTATCAGTACGGCCCGCGATCGCGATGTGCCACATAAAGAAGCGCGTGCCTAGACAAGCCAGAGAGTGTTAGCTAGGTACCTATTTAGTTCTAGTAAACAACTAAATCATGGACAGTAACGCCATCTCTTAGAAACAAGCGAAAATTATCTGTTACTTTTGTTGGAGTGCGTTGGTGCGACGTGAGTCTGTTGAGTCGAGTAATCGAAGCGATGCGGTCGGAGAAGGATTCTAGTTATCATGCGAAGTAGTGATTATGAAGTCTAGTGATTGTGAAGATATTGCGCATTTCTTTGTGTCGTGCGCATGCGATATCATGATGTGTCGAGTTCCATAATTGTTATGATTTTGGCATAATGTCACAAAAACTTAAAGATGATAGTGCAGAGTTCTTCAGTCTAAATGGGAAATTGCATAGTTTTTCATTGAATGGAAATTTTACTATATAATATCATTCTTTATAATTAAATAAACAAAATGTTATAATAATTCAGTACATTTTTTCATTTGAATCTGACCCCCTACAGATATTAAATGTAATATATGGCAAAATTGAGTTTGACACCTCTAATATAATGTATCTGTGATATTAATATAATAAATGGAATACCTAGACTTAATTAGGTATTGTGACCGAAAAGGAAATAAACGTTTTTGAATTTAAATTTGATCTGAAAAAGAAAACAAGTGCTTCTCAGAGAACGGATCTATTTTTCTGGAACAATAAATGCCATCGGAAGTAATTTCTTTTATCAACGATCCAAGCTTCAATGGTACAAAATGAGTTCTTAGATTTTGCTAGTTTCATGAGTCATTATTTCTTAAAGATTATCAACAACAGTGATTACACTGATCCACTTTTGATAGTTTTCCGTTTTCTATCCGAACTGATTCCCTAAATATGTCCAAACAACTATCATCAGTGTTCACCCTGTATGAAGCCCTGATGAAATCCAGCGTAGAAAAATTAAATGTCCTGTCGTCGCGTGCTACGAGATGGGACGATAACAAATGGTTCTTCATGTGATAAAAAACCAGGATTAGGAATCTTAATTTAATTTTCAAATCACCTCAACCTTTGAAACGATGAACATTTCCTAAGTAATGAAATTTCTCCGGGTATTAATCACACTCCCACTGTAATTGAATTATACATGCATAGTGATGGTGTTTTTTATTCGACCATTCCGAACGTATTGCAGAGATGGCAAATGGCTGGTATCGAGGTAACAAAAAATTTAATGAATTGATGTCGTGTCATAGGTCTGGAAAATTACGAGGCACGCAAAAGCTTTGTGGCATTTTGAGTAATAGGATTTCAGAAAAGAAAATTTATCATCATTTGGAATATTGGATATACTTTCCATTATTTGTTCTTAAAACGCAATCCAAGTACATTGAAGGTGACCGTACTGATAAAATTATCAATGCACTCCTAATTTGATAAGCAATCCCCTTAGCTTCTGTATCTGTAGAGTAGGGAGGGTGAGTGTAAGCCCACAGCACTTAGGCCACATGTGACCCATTGTACATCCTCCCGAGGAGTTGTCCTCCTAGGTCATCGTCCATCCTGTCCTTTCCAGGAAGGTGGACAGGTCACTGGGAGACATCTCCTTTATATCGGCAGGTGTAGGCCAAGACTCGCCGAGCACTCACTCTCTTATTGACGATGACTCCAGGCACTCGCACACAGTCTCATCTTCCTGTTCACACATCCTGCATAGAGGTGTGTCCACTAGCCCCATATTATGGAGTTGTTTCCTTAGTTGACAGTGGCCAGTCAGAAATCCTACTATTAGGCGTAGATTTTTCCTGGTCATCGCCAGATATTTCTTCGGCGCCAGCTTCCCAGGGTCGCCCAAGGTGAGCCTGGCAAGATTACATCCTTTGATTTCATCCCATCTCTTTAAGGATTGCGCATAGGTGTAAAATTTGACTAATTCCGCAATTGTCGAAGTCATCAGGCCGTGGGTGCCACTGGGTCCTAAAATTCTTAGTCCAGCCGCTTCCTTGGCTAAAGAGTCGGCAATGCAATTACATTTACTCCTGTCGTGCCCTTTAACCCACCTCAGGAAAATGTTATTACCTACCGAGGCTTTGGCTAAATCTTGGTGACACTCTAGTACTAGCCCTGAGGTTATACGTTGTCTGTTCAAGGCTAATAGGGCTTGTCTGCTGTCAGTGCAGATTGTTATGTTTTTGCCAGAAATACCTTTCTTGGTTATTTCTTTTGTGGCTATTGAGATACCAACCAGTTCTGTTTGGATCACGCTGGTATTTTCTCCCATTCCCCACTTAATTCTTAGGCTTAGTGATATGGAGTACACTCCACACCCTGAGTCTTCTCTGGTTTTTGAGCCGTCAGTATAAATCCGTATTGCATTTGTATCATCTGACTCTATGTTCTGCTTAATTTGTATTTTGTAGGGTTTATTAAACACAAACCTGGGTTCAATTGCATCGCTTGTTGCCTGCAGCAGAGGTTGCGCAGTAAGCGCTTCCCGCCATAGGCCCAGCCTCAATTGACCCATTCCTACTTTAAAGTTTACACCAGCCGTGCGCAATCGTATCATGGCCATTAACGCAACATCCTTAACGTACAGATCCAGAGGGGTCAGACCCGTGATTAATTCCATTGCTGCGGTTGGTGTTGTTCTCATGGCTCCTGAGATGTTTTAAAAGCGTGTTTTTTAGTTTTTAACCCTTAAGTGCCTGTTTATGTGTTACTTTGGTCACCACCAAAGGACCTAATTTGGATAAATAGTTTGAATATGATGTGAATGGTGAATAGTATGATTTTTCATCATTCATTATTAAATTGTTGAATTTGAACCAGTCTCATACACCATGTAAGTCTTGTTCGACTTTATTTTTAACATTTGTCCAAGTTTCGTTCTCATAAAGTATTATCATGAGACTGTTTACAGAATTAATAACAGCGGTTCAAGAACGGTTTCCTGTGGAACTCCATAAGAAACACAGCCCGTGAAGAACTATTCCATTACTACTTGTTTTCGTTCTGACAGATAGCTTTCCGTTGCATTCTCCAAAAACTCCAATTCCATAGGATTGGAGTTTTTGGAGAATGCATTCGTGACACACTGTATCGAATGCTTTTGATAGATTAGCAAAAAATCAACTCAGAAGAGCCTTATAGATATCAATAGTCGAAGCATATATCGCATCTTCTGTACTTCGACCTTCCTACTAGTATGATTTCATTACTTTTTCAGGCACTGAATGTCCAACTCTAATATTGTTTCAATCTCAATGAATTGCAACAGTGTGTAATATTCTGTTATAACGGAAAATTAAGTCCCACAGGGTTCTATTTCGGGTCATTTGCTTTCCATCATCTACGTTGATGATATGATTGAATGACTGAGGAATTCATCAGGGCATCTTACTTTTCGGTATATCACTCAGTAATAACTATAATTGTTCAAGGTGCATCGAGTCATACAGATACAATTTCAGTTCTGCAAAAAAAACTGTTAAGAGCAATGGTGGAAGTCAGTTATAATGATCATTGCAAACTAACATTCAAAAAGTGGTTTGCAAAACTATTCAAATTTTTCTTTTTAGTGTCGTCTGTTACGACAACTTTTCTGCAGATTCAATATGTGTTGAAATTTTACAAATAGGTTTGTTTCTATTTGGTTTCGAAACCTACTGATGAAACCCCAATGGTAAGTCAATTAGTTTTCAATAGAATGAATTTGTTCCATTCCCTGGAAAGCGTAGTTGTTCGTGTGTGACATATGCAGATATCACTCCAACACGACTAAATTTCTCGCACACGTTCTACAGACCCAAACACGCACTATATTCAATCTCCTATTCATACTCATCCGCATCAATGCCGGCAACCTACCGCAGTCGCCCGAATATGTACCCGACCGTGTTGGATGTGAGTTGTGGCGTGTGTGTGGTTTCGATTCGCATTCAATTCCGTTCCCAATAGTGGAGAAAATGGTTAAGGAAATTGGTGCGCCATTGTCAAGTCGTGAACTAATCCGGGACCATCTAAATCTACCTCCGCCTCCTGTTTCGATAAATCTCTATTTTTGAGCAAATGCCGTGTTATAACGTTTTCAAGGAATGAGAGAATTATGAACACTCATGAAACACAGATGAAACTTTCAAGATGACGACTGGGCGCCATCTAGGAAAAAATTAATAGAAAGGGGGGTCTTGCAACACATCTTTTTGAAGCTCCTGACAAATGCTTCGTAACCCTAGAATATAATGTCAATATCTTCAAGTACTACAAAATGGCGGAACTTTTAATAATTGCCTGAATACATTGACATTTAACTACATATCAGGTAGTAAGCTTGAGTATTACTGGAGTTTTTCCCAACACCAAATCGTTATTTATAACACCTCGGCACGTGTTTCGATCACCAAGTGATCATCTTCAAAGAGGAAGATTAAAACTGAATCTTCCTCTTTGAAGATGATCACTTGGTGATCGAAACACGTGTCGAGGTGTTATAAATAACGATTTGGGGTTGGGAAAAAACTCCAGTCATATTCATCACTACACCAAAGGTTCCAAACAGTGCATCATAAATAAGCTTGAGGTCAGTTCAGAAGATGCTCGAAATGGTTGCCCGGAACTTTTTGACTTATGAACAGCCTATCCGATATTTCACGCCAAACATTTTCGAACACAGTAACGTCAATATCTCTACAAATATTTATTATTATCTGCCGTATATCCAATATTGAAGCAAATTTAGTTTCGTACACCTTTTGCTTGAAATAGCCCTATAAAAAAGTCTAAAGATGTCAAATTTGGCGAGCGGGCTGGCCATTCTGTAGGACCTCGACGGCCAATCCAACGACCGGGAAAAGTAGTATGCAAATAGTTTCTTACTTGTCTGGAGTAATGTGGTGGTGCACCATCCTTTTGAAATACAATATCCATATCGAATTCGTTAGGTTTCGCTTCAACGATTTCAGTGATGAGGGGGTCAACAGTAGTTTTCAGCATATTCAAATACTGAATTTTTTATCAATAAATAGAGACCCTACAATATGGTTTCCCAATATTCCCAAACGTTATTTTTTCTGAATATTGGGTATGTGTTTCCCGGAAAACGTGAGGGTTGGTGTCACTCCAATAACGACAATTTTGTCTGTGAACATTGCCGTTAAAAAAAATGTACATTCATCACTAAAACAAATATTGTGAAGATAGGTAGGTAGGATGCCTTGCAATGGTTTCCGTCATGATGTCGCAGAATTCTGTTTTTCGATTAGGGTCATCTTCAGTTAATTGCTGTACCATTTTCATTTGCATGGATGATACCTATTACTCTTTAAAAGTCTCCACACTGTAGAAGGAGACACCTCACAAGCATTCGCGACGGAATAAGTAGACTGTTCAGGATTTACTACCGTCTCACCAATTATTTGCACTTGCTGTTTTTCCGGAATGGACGGATGACCTGGGGGCTTTTTGTTATGTACACTACCGGTAGTTGTACAGGTACAGATAGGACGATTCGGAAAACGTTCATTGAAAATCCTTTGGTCTAATGAAAGTTACGCGTCGCACCGTAAATAAAAATCGCTTCAATTTTTTCCAATGGACGAGAATTGACCATTTTAGATATCGTTGACGTGGCACCTTTCTGCTAGTAAAACCGAAAACTAAATGAGAATATTCTTCATTTTTTTGTCGTTTTTACAAATAAAAAATAACTTAACAAACTTTATCGGGTTGTTTGAATTGCAATATGGCAGAAATATCGATATGTTTGTCTTCAGAAAATTATTGAATATTTCGCCATTTTGTAGTAAGTGAAGATATTGACTTCATATTCTGGGGTTGTGAAGTATTCGCCAGGAGCTTGAAAATGATGTGCCAGAAGACCCCCTTTGCATATATTTTTTTCCCAGATGGCGACCAGTCACCATCTTGAAAGTTTTATCTGTCAATTTTACTTCAACATCAAGTATTCATGCATTAATTTCGTTATCCCAAATTTCAATTTTTTGAGTCGACCCGTTCAAAAAATAAAAGGGGTGGGACATTAAAGAAAAGCACTGTATATTGTTTCACAAATGTTTCAAAAAGTTCTGTCTGTTTTTATGAGTCTACTTCAATCTGTAACATCTCAGAAAAACTTCATCATTGTAATCGAAAGAAGCTCGGTTTTAATCGGTGCATCTTTGCCAATGTCGATTATTCCGTTAGCATAAAAATTGTTTGATCGGAATTCGATGAAGTCGACGAAGGCCATTTTTGCCTTGCCCTGGTAGGCGAAGGTTCTGCCGCTGAGAAAGTTATCGAAGTGCTTGAAAAGTAGGTCGGCACGGGGTCTGGAGAGTATGGTGGTGATTCAAAACTTGGACACTCGGTTCGTTGAATTTTTGGACGGTGATTTGTGAAACGTACGGACAGACGTTGTTGTGGAGCAGGATCGGACCTCATCTGTTGACCAGTGCCAGCTGTTGCTGACGCAATTTTCGGTACATTTCGATGATTTCTTTAAAATAGAACCATGCTGTGAGGGTTTGGCTCGGTTGCAGAAAGTTGAAGTAAATCACACCAGGCGTTGACCACCCATCATACAGTAACCATGGTCTTTTTTTGGTGGATTTTCGCCTTTGGGAAGTGCCTGGATGGCTCAAATATCCAACCACCGTCCTGAACGTCTCCTGTTGTGGAAGGATCCACTGTTCATCATACGTGACGATCTTA